TTGCTTCAAATGATCCGAGGAACCCGCCATTTCCGGATTGCGAGACATTTTTGGGACACCCTGTAGACTGTTGTAAATCGATGTGAAGACAAAAGAAGTGTGGAACAATGCATATGAAGACGATTATTTGATCCAAACGATGAGCGAGTGAGCTACTAGAGCAAGCCACTATAGTGGCGCGTCGTCCAGAGAGATGACATCCGCGAAAGCCACTATAGTGGCGTGTCGATCTAAAAGATGATATCCGCGGAAGCCACTATAGTGGCGCGTCGGGCCTAAAAGGTTAAATCGAGCATCAGGACCGTGGCCGGCTCTGACCGGACGAAGCAGAGCTTGCTTATTAACATTTATTATTATTATTAGACTTGCTATTACACTTATTATTATTAGAGCTTGCTTGTTAACACTTAACGCTGACTTAAGTCAGCGGGGACCGCTGCGAAGGGCCCGAACAGGGATTAATCGGCGCCTTCTCTTTGCGGTCATTAGGCCGGGTACGGAAGTCCCAGTCTTGACTCTGTGTCGGCTGTAAGAAATTTTTCTTTAAGTTGGGTAGGCCGTGTATCCTACTTCAACTATACCTATTCGGATCCAGTGCTTCGTCTCGAATATCTGTGGATAGCTGATGCGTCCAGCGGTGCGGGAATTATGCTTGTTTGACCTCGTGACGGCCTCGTCCGCCGGCTTAATGATACAACAAAAACAGCCTCCCGCTGCCGCGTCGCAGAATTGCCTATTCTACTTGGTCCGTTCCTGGCAGAGTTACAGCGAATTTCGATTATAATAGGCTCTGTCCCTTGTCTGGCTACATGCGGGCATATTCTACTCGATCGTTCGCGTAATAACAGCGCCGCAAATGTGCTACCAACGTGAAACTGTACTCGCGATTTTACCTCGTGTCTGACCATGTACGGACTTATTCTACTCGACCAGCTACGGTAAATTCTCCGTAATTGACGCTCTCAGTCAACGATTATAAAAATAATTAAATGAGAATAATGATTGTCCATTTTTGTGCACAAAATTTTTTCAAATTTCATAATAGCGTGTGTCTGAATGAAGAAACAGCTGTTTTTACTCGACTCTTCACACTAGTCATGTGATATTTCTCTACAACTATATTATATGTAATTATATATTAATTACATATTAATTATAGATATTATATTATTATTATATTATGTATATATTTAGTTATTATATACATATTATATGTTTTAATATTATATATTATATATTATATATAATTATTGCTATTATATTATATATATTTATTATATTACATTATATATATATATATTAATTATATTATTATATGTAATTATCAATTGCCGTATATACAACAATCGAACAAACTCATTGCGACCAATTCTCGTGGTGCAAATTATTGAGTCATTCGAGAAAAGTTGTTTCGTTCTTTCGCGAGAAAATGAAAGACGATATTTTAATATCCAAAGTAAAAATGAAACTGTTTGACATATTTTCGATAACTTCGAACTCTTATACTCGTAGACATCTTATTTTATGATTGATAATACTGAATTAAGTACTTTTTTAACTCCCTTACAAAACGAAATTTTTGTTGTAAAACGAAACAACTTTCCGAACCACCCAATAATTCTTCAGTTCTAAATTTGTTCTAAACTATCTTTTTGGCCCTTGAATAAACATGTCGGCATGTACCATCGGTGGTACACGTGACACAGGACGTATTAATCAAAGCAGCTTTACGACATCAACAATTATAAAATGAAAAATATGAGACCGATCAATAATTGACCAGCGATGATCAATAATCTCCTACCAAGAATCGACCATATACTTTCGTCAGTGTCTCGGCATTGTGCCGGTCTGACTGCGCACTGGATCATTCTACTTGTCCGGTGACATAACAACAGGCTCCCCTCACAATAGGAGCAGCCATTATAAATGTCCCGTCCGGCGGACTATGCGTGGACTTATTCTACTCGTCCGGGGCAGCCGTGTACCGCGCTCGTCTAACCGGATAAGGATCTCCTCTGACAATTCATTGTTACATTCCTCTTGACCCGTACGTCTGCACACATAAGGAACATTCCACTCGGACTCGCTGATACATAGCAAAGCACTCGGGACCGACGCCGCAAGTCGGTAACTTATTAGACACCGGGTGACACATTTTTCCAAGAACTCGCCTCTCGACAGTCCAATTTGTTTTTCTCTCTCTCTCTCTCTCTCTCTCTCTCTCTCTCGGTGTCAACGAGGCAACGTATTTCCCTTTTTCTCACGGTGACCTGAACGTACGTCGCGCTGTGTTCGGTTGCAGGTGCGTTCGAGGTCGTTGACCCAGCTGGACGCTCTAGGCAGCAGCATGCTGGACACAGGGGAGCACCATCTGGAGAGTGGCCCCGCCGCGCAACAGCAACCCCATCAACTTCACCACCATTACCAGCCGCAACAGCAACAGCAACAGCAGCAGCAGCAGCAACAGCAACAGCAGCAGCAGCACACCCAAAGTGTAGAAAATAATCCCCGTTTTTTGGTGCCTAGCGCAGCGTCGATAGAGAGCACCCACCAGAATCGCACCAGGCACAAACTGTCGCGGTCGCAGGTCAGTAAATTAAACCATCGACCATCAATTATCACGATCTTATCCAAAAACAAAAGAATGGACATTTTTTCTTTTGCCTCCCGCTCGACCCGATTCCAGAATTGTCCCCGCAACAGAATAGCATAACACACGTCCAGGGCGTATTTTTTGGCCGCGGCACAATGGCGCGTAAAAGACAAAGGATCCCCGTTCTAATTCGCGGTCGAACAATTAAAAGCTGGCCTAATTTTAGTGGAACCGACGGCTTACGTAACCCCCGCGGGCCACGTTCCGTCTCGGTGTTGTCGGATCGATAACAGCAAACGATCCTGTACGTGCCGGCGAAGAAATTAATCTTGCCGGCCGGCTATGAGGATGCCTATATCACTGGCAAAGAAAGTGGAGCAACTAGGCGAAAGTTCGGCCGGAATCGATTTGCCGCGGCGCAGGAGTGAATTAATGAAATACGAGGATCGTTTTCCGCTTCGCCCGGGGACGATTCGCGCCGAGAATCGTCGGCGTTTAGAATTCTGCAACGACGCAGCGCGAGAACTTTCGCGCCACGTCGGAATTCCCGTGCGGAGAAATCGAACGCGCCGGCGAGAGACGCGAAACATCCGAAATTTTCGAGCTCAGGAAATTCTTTCGAAATTCTTAACCGCTGCTTAAGCTGCTGTCAAGGTTTAGAGACGGCGCATTCGCGTATTTGTTGTTCGAAAAAATTCTGAAAAATTCTCTTTTCGATCCAGTGCGGCACCGCGCCGGCGAGAAACGCGGGATACACGAAATTTTGTAACTCAGTAAATTCTTTCGAAATTCTTAACCGCTGCTTAAGGCGCCGTCAAGGTTTAGAGACGGCGCATTCGCGTATTTGTTGTTCGAAAAAGTTCCCAAAAATTCTCTTTTCGATCGAGCGCGGCACCGCGCCGGCGAGAAACGCGAAACACCCGAAATTTTCGAACCCAGTAAATTCTTTTGAAATTCTTAACCGCTACTGAAGCCGCCATCAAAGTTCAAAGACGGCGCATTCGCGTATTCGTTGCTCGAAAAAATTCCCAAAAATTCTCTTTTCGATCGAGCGCGGCACCGCGCCGGCTAGAAACGCGAGAGACGCGACATTCTCGAACCCAGTAAATTCTTCCAAAATTCTTAACGATTGTTTAAACTCCCATCAAAGTTCAGAGACAGTGCATTCGCGTATTCAAAACATTCGCGTTCAAAAAATTCCCAAAAATTCTTTCTTCGATCGAGGAGATCGCCGCGCCATCTCATGCGCTCGATGCGATAAAATCGAAACCAGCCGTTATATTTGAGCGTAAAAAATTTTCCAACGCTGTCCGCGGATCGTCGAAGCCAGCCGTAAAGTTTCAAGCGGATACGCCAATTAGTCGTGGCTCGGGAAATTCCCGAAGATTGGATGGTCGATTATTGAAACGGAACGACCGGCCGATGCGGTCGCAGATTCGGTTCTTCGGCGAGGAATTCGATCGGCCCCGGATTGTTTAAACGAGTTTCCGGGCTCCGACGGGGTCCGGTTAGTCGAAAGCTTTCGCGGATGGATCTCGGGCTGGCCCGGGGAATTACGAGGGAAAACTACGTTCGCGTGGAACGCCGCCGGAGTGGCAGGTGTTTGGCGACGATTGGTCGCTTAGCAATTCAAATGGCAGTTTCTAGGGATGCGGCCGCGAGACGGAGCACTCGTTACCCCCGCGGCCTCGGGTCCGATGTAAATGAGACAATAAAATGTCTGGCCGAAGCGTCGCTCCTCGTGACCCAGGTAATACCGACGATTACGAGACACATTTACGTCCGCGCTTGGTGTCCCGGCGCCGTCTACCGCCCGAATTAATTACCGCCGGCTCCGCCCCGCCGAGATCCCTTAATTTTTCTACCAAGGGCTCGCTTGATTTCGTTTACGGTCCACGTTACTTTTAATTTCGCCCTCTTGGACGCTTGATTACCGGCATCGGTCCCTCAGTAGGGCGACAACTGCCGCTGCGACGGGGGAACCGAGAGAGAAACCGAGTCGCACGATTTAAGGAGTAGAGAATAAAAAAGTAATTTTGCAACCGTCTACGTACTCGGGAAAATTGTCTTTTTTTTAGTCAGTTAGCTGGGCTCGAGGACTATACTCGTCCCGGAGAAGTGACAGTATTTTGTGTCATGACGAGTATAATTATTTTGTGTCGTCGCGCGTAAAAAGTAGTAACTATTCGATATTTTAATTATAATTTTAGTAATCTTAGAAAACAAAACAATACATATTCTCAAATTTCATTCTTTGCTTTGCTGTATTCCACTCTACAGCAGCAATTTTAAATTTCAATTATTCCTCATTTTAATTTACTTTAATTACCTATAATAAATTTAATTTAATTTGATGTGATTTTTCCTGCGTTTTTCGTTTATCACGTGTGTAATGTATGTTAACGTTATGTGAATAAGTAAATATGCGCGCTCTGAAAAGGAGGCGCCGCAGCTAATTGGTTAATTAACGGGTTGTGGACACGGTGTCTGACCATTGCTCGCCAGTTCCACTTATCGTATATTCAAAGTATGTACATCGTGTATGTCGAACGCTATTTCACAGAAAATTTGCCAACATTGGGAAATCATTGTATAACCGAATTGTTATACAGGGTGTGCGGAAAATCGTGGTACATCCAGTAAGGTGCATCCTACATGCAAAAACAAGTCGAAAAAGAAGAATAGCATTTTTCATTTAAGACTCCGTTCTCGAGAAAACTCAGTTGAAAGATGCGTTAAGTTTGCGTGGCTTGTAATACGACGAGAAGTAGAATTGGTATGTCATAACCAGACAGTTGATTCCTATTCAATAGTATTACTTCCTCAACCTCAATTTTCCTCAAAAACAAAGCCTTAAACGAGAAAATGCTATTCCTTTTTCTCGTCTTATTTTTGCACGTAGAATCGTCCCCTTGCAAGTTACACCACTTTTTCGTCTAAGGCTTCGTTTTTTAGGAAAATTGAGGTTGAAGAAATAATACTATTGAATAGGAATCAACTGGTTATGACACACTAATTAGAATAACGAGAAAATGTTATTCATTTCTCTCGACTTATTTTTGCACGTAGAATCATTCCCTTGCAGGTTATACCACGATTTCCCGAACACCCTGCATATATTACAGCTTGCTCCGTACGTCTGACCAACGACGAGCTTTTCTACTTACCTCCGGCGCACAATAAACGTCGAATAAACTTCGATCAGAATTCTAGCTAAATTCGCCGCTAAACTTCGTTTGAGAGCGATTCTATTACATTGTCTAGTTATTTGATCGCACAAATTCCGCATTTTACAGTTTCCATCGTCTTCAGACACCGCCTCGTACATTCGAAGAACCTTGAGCCCTGAGCACGTTTTCGCAATAAGCTGTAACTGTTTTCTCTCGCGTAGGCGTAGCAGCTCGACGGTTTATTGCCCAAGGAATTGGAAAAGCGGATTATCAGGCCGACCGTGGCTCCGTTCACGGAGCGATCGTCCTCTTTATTTAAATAAAGGGAGCGCACGCGATTCTTCCACCGTCGGTTTCGATAACAAGATCCGCCGTTCCGTCTCGCGGCTAAAGAGATGCCGGCGCTCTCTCGCCGCGGCGAAATGCGGCGTCGAACGCGGAAGCCTCTTGCGTCTTGATGCGAAGAGAGTATGGGAGGAGAGTATGATAGAGGAGAAGAGTGAAAGGGAGAGTGGGAGAGAAAGAGAAAGAAACAGAGAGAGAGAGAGAGAAAGAGAGAGAAAGAGAGAGAGAAGTTGAAAGAGAGAGAAAGAGAGAGTGAAGGAAAGAGAGACAGAGAGAGTGTGAGAGAAAGAGTGAAAGAGAGTGCGAGGAAGAGAGCGTGAGATAGAGAGCGCGAGAAAGAGAGCGTGAGATAGAGAGAGCGCGAGAGAGAGCGCGAGAGAGAGCGCGAGACAGAGAGAGAGAGAGAGAGTGAAAGAGAAATAGAGATAAAGAATAAAAGAGAGAGAGTGAAAGAGAGAGAGAGAGAGAGAGAGAGAGAGAAAGAATAAAAGATAGAGAGTGAAAGAGCGAAAGAGAGAGAAAGAATAAAAGAGAGAGAATTGAAGCGAGAGAAAGAGAGAGAGAGGGAGAGAGAGAGAGAGAGCCGTATCCAGTCTAGCATTCGCCCGTCGAAATCTCGAATCCGTTTCACAGTTGTCCGACGCATTCCTCGATTCCTGCCTCGCCTGCCCTGTGTATCTTGCTGTTATCGACGAAAACTCATAGTTGAATCCTCTGGCTTATTCGCGGTTCAGGTTCCATCGCAGATACACTGCCGTCACTCTCAAATAACCAATTTCTTTACGCAGGCTACGACGATACTTGTATTTACATATTTACACAGCTACCAGGATCCTCCGCCTCGTATCGCGAGATTTCGAATTTTTCCTAGGAAAACGAAATACAAATTCTCGAACGCGATTTTGGCCAATCTATTGTTCAAACTTCGAGCTCCGATTCGATATCTTGTTGAAGGGCACGGAACGAGGAGGTATTAGACTGGACGAGAGATCAAAGTTGTTCTGCATTTTTCATCAACTTTTGGTCTTGCTGATTGTCGATGGATATATATACGGCTTCGTTGATATCCTTAAAGGATTTTCGTGAATTATTTTCCGCAGCTTTCTAAGGAGTTCAGCGACCAAGAATAAGCAGAGAAGAATCGATCGTAGTCCACGAATGTCTGACTATATATACATTGTCTTGCACTGCTTGCTTCTTGTACCGCTTTGTCGCATAAAATAACGCGCGATAAAAATTGTCCGACTATTTGACTTCTCGCTGCCAGCGAGGTCCGAACGCGTTCGATTGAATTCCAAACGAAGTTGAATCCTCCATTCTTCGCGTTCGCAAAATGGAGAATCCTCTCACGGTTACTCGAAGTCTGTCTCGGCCGTGGAGCGGCATTATTCGACGATAAACAGCCTGCTAGCACGAATTCGTCGTTTCGTAGGATTGTATCTATTATCTCGAATTTACATTCAGATGTTCCGGATGGTC